ATTTTATTAGGGATGTCATATTGGCACATCTGGGAAAACCCAAATCTGAAAGCTTCAAGGTTTTCTCCACCCAAAGGAAAGTCCAAGTCCCTGCCCAGCACTCACATGGTCCAATCAAAACATTGTCCCAACTGGAGATGCCTTCCAGATCCAGCCCTCCAGGTGCAGGGCAAGATGTCCTTGACTCTCTGAGAAAGGAATATTATTATGACTATATATCAGAGACGGCTAACCTTTTTGCCATCGCGTGCCAGGAGCGGGGTGGGGGGGTGGGGTGTCAGCCGCGTGCATGCCCACACCCATAATTCTATGCACCCTGCCCCTGCGCATGTGTGCTCCCTCGCTCCCCCCACTCCTGGCACGCGATAGCATGGTAGGACTCCAGAGCCTTTCTAGGAGCCTGGGGAGGGCGAAAATGGCCTTCCCCATCCCTCCGGAGGCCAGAAATGGCCCATTTGCCAACTTCCAGTAGGACCAGAAGGCCTGTTTTTTGCTCTCCCCAGCCTCCAGAGCCTTTCTAAGAGTCAGGGGTGGGTGAAAACGGCCTCCCTCCACCTCCCGGAGCCCCCCAGAGGCCAGAAATGGCCCATTTGTGAACTTCCGGTGGGAGCTGAGCTCCCGTGCCCACTGATATGGCTACGTGTGCCACCTGTGGCACGTGTGCCATAGGTTCACCATCACGGCTATATATCATCCATGCTCCATACAATCCCCCCTCCCAATTTTCCACAGTAGTAAAGGTGGCAGGCCTGAAGGCTCAACGCAAAAGATGGCTTCCAGGCCTGGCACTCATGAGTTCACCTGCCTATTGGGATCCCCAAGCCAGCTAGCATAACCAGGTCTGAGGGAACTTCAGAAGCTCAGGAGTGACAAAACCAACCAATGCAGCTTACAAAGCAGAAGGTTAATATGGTCTACCAGAAACATCATAATTGCTCTTGCTACTTCATTTTATACGAGACGAAGTTGATCAATACTCTTCAAGGGAAGACCTACACAGAACACATTGCAGTAGTCCAACCAAGAGGGGACCAGAGAACCCTTCACCCAGGAATAGGTACAACTAGCACATAAGCAAAGTCGTGACTCCTAGACAGAACTTCTCCTTGATCCTCAAGCAGGAGTTATGAATCCAGGAGCATCCCCAGATTGTGCACAGGGTCTGTTTGGGGCACTGCAACCCCAACTAGCACCATAGATGTGTAATCCTAGAACCAAAGCCACTCAATCTTGCTGGGGTTCATCAGAAGCCTGTTTTCCCCCATGTTGTGGCCCCGCCCTCTGAGCCTGTCCCATCGGAGGAAGAAAGCTCCGAGCATGAGGAAGAGGAGTCAGCCAGGCCTCCCTCTCCAGGCCCCTCCCCTCTGGCACTGTCTCAGGTGCCGGCCGAGGGAGAGGAGATTAGCAGGGAGACAGCTGGCTCGGATGAGAGCGACGGAGAAACATCATTCCTGGACGCACGCCTCCGAAGGCGTGATAAACGTTTGCAGCAGCTCAGGAGGCGTGCTAGGGATTAGAACTGAGTCACTGGACCACACCCCAGAGACTATATAATAGAGGGTGGTGGCCAGCGATCCCTGTGACGAACAAAACTAACCTTGGATAGTCACTAAAGCCTCGTTCGGAACTGCTGGGAGGAATATTTATTGTTGTTGGACATTTGGAAGCTGAGTATTTATCTTTCTGTTTTCTGTGGAAATAAAAGCACTTGGCAGACGGCGTGTATATCGCTGCCAAGTTGGAGATAAAGAGCTGGGTGTGTTCCAAGTGCTTCCTTAACCCTCGGCTGGCTGTGTTTGTGTGTGTGTGTGGACGGGGACAGATCACCCCATGCAGACACTCAAAGCCTCCAGACACCAAGACAGGATATGCACATCGTTGCTTAATTTACCGGAAGCAAAGATGTGCAATTGGGTTTCATCACTATATTGAGGATACCTTACCACATGGAGATGGTTGAGCTTACTCTGGGGTGTCATGTAGATGTTAAATAGGAAAGGGGGCAGCATTGACCTTTGTGGCTCATCACATAAAAAGGTCAATGAACAGTTGCAGGAACTGGGCATGGCTAGTCTAGGGAAGAGAAGGACCAGGGAGACATAATAGCACTGTTCCAATATTTGAGGGGCTACCACAGGGAGGAGGGGGTCAACCTGTTTTCCAAGGCACCCGAAGGCCAGACAAGAAACAATGGATGGAAACTGATCAAGGAGAGATTCAATCTGGAAATAAGGAGAAATTTTCTGACGTTGAGAGCAATCAACCCATGGAGCAGAAGTTGCCTTCAGAGGTTGTGGGAGCTTCATTACTGGAGGCTTTTAAGAAGAGATTGGACAACCATCCAGTTTTGCTCACCACACTATAAAAAAGATGTTGACACTCTATAAAAAGTGCAGAGAAGAGAAACCAGGGTGATTAGGGGACTGGAGACTAAAACATATGAAGAACAATTACAGGAATTGGGAATTGCTAGTCTAGTGAAGAAAAGGACTAGGGGAGACATGATAGCAGTCTTCCAATATTTGAGGGGCTGCCATAGAGAGGAGGAGGGGGTCAAGCTGTTTTCCAAAGCACCCAAAGGCCAGACAAGAAACAATGGATGGAAACTGATCAAGGAGAGATTTAACTTAGAAATAAGGAGAAATTTTTTGATATTGAGAGCAATGAACCAATGGAACAGAAGTTGCCTTCAGAGGTTGTGGGAGCTTCATCACTGGAAGCTTTCAAGAAAGAGATTGGACTGCCATTTGTCAGAAACAGTGTAGGGTCTCCTGCTTGGGCAGGGAGGTTGGACTAGATGACCTACAAGGTCCCTCCCAATTCTGTTATTCTGTTCTGTTATCTGAACCTACTACGACACAGGCCAAATTCCATCTTGTGTGCAGGTGTTCACTTTCAGGTAGATAAAAAAAGTCAACTTCACCTTTACTCCCAAGTCCATCTGCTCTGTGGATTAGCAGCATGAGATGACCTACAAGGTCCCTTCCAACTGTGTTAATCTGTTATGTAAGGTCCAGGGTGGGATCTTCTCCTTACTATTGAGTTACGTAAACAAGGAAGTTTGCATTGTCACAATCCCACTCATACCCAACAGTCACAATCAATGATGTTTATATACCATATCCGGGTCTAAAACCTCAGTAAAAAGGACCTAGCTGATCCATTCTATCCAGGAACCTCTGAAGCTGTTGCACATCCGTCTTCTCAATCACCTTTCCCCAAAAAACTAATTATGGATATTTGACGCTGTTAGGCTAATTGAATCTCTGCAGGAGTGATGTCTAACAACTACCATGTTTCCCCAAAAATAAGACCTGGTCTTATTTTGTTTTGACCTCCAAAATAAGTGCTAGGCCTTATTTTCGGGGGAATGTCTTAATTTCCCCACTACCATTTGCGGCAGCTCAGCATCCCAGAGAAGGCAAAAACTTCCACAAAAGGCATTGCTGGCACTCATTGAGCATGGATGCAGCTTCTTCTTGCTTTAGCTTTACCCTCAGTCAGAGGCAGGGTGGTTCATGGCAAAATGGTGGGTGAATTCACTTGCGAGGTACTCCTAAAGCTTCAGGAGGAGGGGACGGTCGCTTGGGTAGTAGGCTGAGAAAGTGGGGTTAATATGCGAGGTGTTGTTACGGGTCAAGCTTGGCATTTCACCTTCCTGCTTTTTGCAAACTTTTGGCTGCATGCAAAGACCCTGGCTTGTTTCTCTCCTCCAAACTCTGCCAGAAATGGGTCTTTGTGAGGCTTGTCACACCAATGCTGCTACTTGCGGCAGGATGGCGCGAGATTTTTTAAATTTCATTTTATTTTTTATTTTAAAATTTTATTAGAGCATCAAAAAGAAAAATCAAAAACAAATGTATAATAATTTTTCTATCATTGTGTAACATCAGCTTCAACCCAGGAGCCCTCAAGCAGTTGCATCCACAACAAACCATTTTTATACCAAATATATTTTACTGATAAAGAAATAAAGGGAGACTGGTATAGATCTATTTCAAGCTTCTTAGCTCTCATCAACCAGCCTTACCCTTACTTGGATTCGAACCTGGGCTGCCTGCATGTTAACATGAGAGTTAAGAAGCTTGAAATAGACCAGTCTCCCTTTATTTCTTTATCAGTAAAATATATTTGGTATTCGGGTCTTCTCCCACATAAAATTGGAAGTGTCTTGGCGACGTTTCGACGAAGTCTCATTCGTCATCTTCAGGCTGGTGTTCTCGGCTTCGTGCTTCCAGGAGCAATGTGAGATCGCAGCTGTCTCTTCCTTTTAACTGCTAGTGGGGGTGTGAGCTAATTGGGTGGGAACTTGGCTGTGTTCTGATTGGGTGGAGGTGTGTTCTGATTAGTTAGGGGCTTGGCTGTGCTCTGATTGGATGGGGGGTTGGTTGTGCTCTGATTGGCTGGGGGTGTGTTCTGTTTGGGTGGGGGCTTGGTTGTGCTCAGCTTAGTCTGAGTTGCAGGGGGATTTGAGCTGGTGAGCTGCGTTGTTGTTGTTTGGCTTTGTGTTTGTGGCCGTGCGAGCTCTTCATGGTGGGTGTCAGTCTGCTTCATGTATGGATTGGAGGGGTTTAAAGTGGCTAATGATGCAGCTGTGGTCTGGCTTCTGGTCCTTGGTCGTGGCTCATTATCAGTGTGGGTTTGAGTCTGCTTTCTGCATGGATGTGTGGTGGTGACATCCTGTGTGGCTCTTGTGAGTGTGGGTCTGGTGTCATTCGTCATGTTAGGGACTCGTTTGTCAGTAAGGGCGGGTTTCCAAATGGCTGGTAGGCGGGAGGTATCGTCTCGTTTGTTCATGCTGTGTGGGCGTTTTTCTATCTCAATGGCTTCTCTGATTATTCTGTTGTTAAAGTGTTCAGTTTTGGCGATAGTTCTGGTCTTTTTATCTTAGTGGATTGTCTATCATAAATCATTTTTATAGTGTTTATAAATCTCTCCCCAAAGTCCATTCTCTGCAACGGGTGATTGTTGATGATTGACTGATACTTTCTGATCAGGCAAATCATTAAATTACCATTTATTTAAAATTCAAATACAAATACAAAATTTCTCCAAATAAAACAAAAGTTTCCAATTCCCACATAAATCAAAGATTCTTGTGCCTCACTATGTTTTCCATACAATTAAAAACAGGGCCCAAAGGCAAAATAAAAGTTACTACTTTACATATAAATCAGAGATTCTAGTGCCCCATTATATTTTTTCTCTGATTCAGATCCGGCCTGAATAGGATAATGTAGCATTTGGGGAAAAAGATACAAGCCAAGAGACCAGCCCCAGAGGCCAAGATGGAGAAGATCTCCACGGCCACCATGGACTTCCCTTTGGTACTCAGATAGGTGGGGAGGAATGAGATCCAAACACTGCAAAAGACCAGCATGCTGAAAGTAATAAACTTGGCTTCATTGAAGCTGTCAGGCAATTTCCTGGCCAGAAAGGCCACTGTGAAACTGATGAGGGCTAAGAAACCCAGATAGGCAAGGACAGCATAAAACATTAAAGCTGAGCCTTCATTACATTCCAAGATGGTCTCTCCTATCAAGGAGTGGAAATCCAAGTTGGGATATGGGGGAGAGGTTACTAACCAGGAGGCACAAAGAAGTGCTTGGATCAGGGGACAGGCTAACACAATAGAATTGGTCAGAGGTTTTCCTAACAGTTTCCTTGTCTTGTTCCCTGGTTTGGTAGCCATGAAGGCCAGAACCACCATGACAGTTTTTGCCAACACAGAGGAAACTGCAAGGGAAAAGAGAATAGCAAAGGTCGTTTGTCGGAAGAGACAGGTGAGCTTCCCAGGTCGACCAATGAAGAGGAAGGAGCAGAGGAAGCAGAGCAGGAGGGAGACCAGGAGGATGTAGCTGAGATCTCGGTTGTTGGCCTTGACAATCGGTGTATCATGATGTTTAAGAAAAATTGCCAGAACTCCCAATGTGATCATAGAGAGAGAAAGTTGGAGTGAAGTTAAAGCATATCCCAGAGGCTCTTGATAGGCAAGGAAGTGGATCTTCTTGGCAATGCAGTGGTCCTTGTCCATGTTGGGATATTGGTCTTCTGGGCAGGGATCACAGGAAGCTGCATCTGAAATCATTTCATGGCATGTCAAAAAGGGCTAATTATCTGATAACCTTGAGAATACATTATCCAGAAATAAAGACGCTTTCTTTGGCTCAACTTCTCTGCTTTGTACTTTGCATCTATTTATTGAGACGTTTCTTTGCAGAGAACAGCCGGCAGAGATAGTTAGAATGATTTTCTCTTTCTCCAACAGGTCTATCAATTTCCTGACGGAAAGACCATACCCGAAATAATGAAAATTGAAATTTGACACTCACAGTCCTCTCCTTCGTGAAAAGGTTTGTAACTGGATTTCCCAGTGGGTTGTTAAGCGAAAGTTTAGTAGGGAGCGATGAATTGTGCCCCGAAACTACTCTGCATTAAAAAGTGGCCAGAGGGACAAGACAGTTTAGAACTATATATACAGAGGTTCTGCTGAAAAGTATGAATATGCTGAAGAATGTAATCTGCTGAAAATGACAAATAGGTTGATATTTGTTTCTACTGAACAATTTTTCTGATCCTGGAAGATCAGAAGATCAGTTTAAAATGTGCTCTACCTGTCTGATTAGAGATGGCTCCTTCTGGACAAGGGGCACATTGGTAGCAGCAAACTGGCTTGCCCTCTGGAACTCTTCTCCTCTCTCCTGCCTGGCACCTCTTCAGGCCACACCTGGCAAAGGGCATCTTCTAAAAGAGAAAAGCGAAATATTGTAGATGGCCAAAGCAATGAATGTTCTTCATTTATTCATTTGTACATTTCTTTTTCCCTCATCAGTATTCAGCTAGAAGGGATAATATATGTATAATGTGAGGGGTTTTTTTTGATGCACCTTTTTTTTTTCTTGCTTTAATTTATATGCCGCCCTTCTCCGGAGACTCAGGGCGGCTTACAATGCGCTAAGCAATAGCCTTCATTCTTTTGTATATTTAAACAAAGTCAGCTTATTGCCCCCACAAACCGGGTCCTCAATTTACCTACCTTAGAAAGGATGGAAGGCTGAGTCAACCTTGAGCCTTGGAGAGATTCGAACCTGCAGTAATTGCAGGCATCTGGTCTTAATAACCAGCTTAATAACAGGGTGCCTTAGACCACTGTACTACCAAGGCTCTTTTAAAATACTTTGATTGTTTTGTGGCTTTCCCCCCCATTTTGTCTTCTTGAAGTTTTCTTTTTTGAGTTTTTTATTTTGAATTTTAATTTTGTCCTGAACAAAATAATACAAAAAATATATGTATACAAATCAGACCTGAAACCTGTTACACACAAAACTGATTTTTCATCCAATGGTTGCCCATGATTTGATTCAGTAACTTGTTTTCAAGCAAGGAGGAAGTTTTCAATCCACAGAAAAGAATGAATCTTTTGCTGACTTTATTTCATCTTCCAGCTCACCTTTCTTGTCCAGATAATTGCATCAGAGTTGATGGTGAAATCTTGGCCTCGGGGAGCCCCAGAATCTATCTGTCCAACTTTCACAGAGAGAAAAGATAAATTGGGGAAGAGAACCCAATTGAGAAGATTATAACGACCAGATCCCAGTCCATTTTCTGAGAAGGAGATTTCATCTCCAGCACTGTTGTTGAACTGGACATTCCTCAAATAGGGTAGAAGCTGAAAGAAATGAGATCTTCAGAAACTGGAGTAATAGGTTAAAAGACACAAAAGAGACATCATGCCTTCTACAGTAACATTCTGGAGTAACACCAAGTTTCTAACTACTTCCCCTACAAAAAATCTCTTCTCTGCTAAAGTTCATAGAGGGTTTTGTCTTACAACAATGTGTTCAGTGTATCACATTGCAAAGTAAATGCATGATGTGGGTCAGAGAGTATGCTAAGCCATAGAAACTAAATGTAAGGATTGCCTCTCCTTCCAACTTAAGAAAGTACGAACTCTTGAAATGTGGTTGTTCAAAAGGATTCTTTTATTAAGCAGAAGTGAAAGCCATCCAGCTAAAGCACGATCTGAATACCCTCAGGCAAGACAAGCAGGATTAAAGCAATAGAGACCCCTCCCGTTAAGTCAGAATGCAGACGCACCGGTGTATAAGACGCACCAAGATTTCGAAGAGGTAAGTAAGAAAAAAAGTTTTTTGCCCTCCCCAGAACCCAGGAGCACTTTGTAGGGCTCCCAAAACCTGTGTGCACCCTGTTTTTTGCAAAAATGGGCCCATTTTCTGCTCATTTTTTGCCTGTTTTTGTGACAAATGGGGCGCGAAAAATACGGTACTGTTTCAATCTGGTTTGATTCAGATTTGATGCAGTGATAGGATATTTATTTCAAGAAATACACTTGGGGAGCCTCCTATCTAGAGATCTGTAGAATGGATTTAAAAAAAGACTTACAGAAATTACCTGCCACGACTGGACATTTGAGATCCTCTTTCCAAGTCTTAGCATGGCTGGTTGCCCCCTGGATCCATGCATTGCATGTAATGCGTGTGCCACCGCATAAATGGCATTGTAGATATTGTAACTTTCTCCTGTCATGCTTGCTTCAAACGTGTAAGATGGAAGATTCTGCAAATTCTCCTTTCCTGTACATGTTTTTTCCGTCTTTGGAGGGATCTTGCCAGGTTTATGGATCTTGCAGTGAAAGACATATTCCCACCATCGAGGGAGAAAGAAGTCCCCTCGTGGCTTCAAAGGGTCTAAAGACATGAGAAAACGGCTGAATTCTGAGACCTCCCTGGTGTGGTCTGTAAAATGCAAAGCCCCATGGAAGGGCTTTATACCTTGCAATACATATTCAGAGTTTAATGCATTAAGTTTCCAATTGGATGTAAAGATCCAAACTTTCAGAAATGGTGCCTTTCTCTGTGTTTCATAAACAAACGCAACCACTTGTACATTTGCAACAGCACTGGAGTCTCCAAACAGAATAATCACTTCACCTTTAGACCAAGTGTTGAAAATATGAAGTAATTTCGATCCTGAAGTGGCATAAAAATCAGATTTCATCATTTCAGTGAAAGCCAGACAGATCTCCTTCTCCTTGAGCATTGGCATCAGAGATGAGACAAAATGTTCTCCATCGTCATTTTCAGGGGCCAGAAGTCCAACCCAGTTCCACTGGAAATACAGGAGCAGCTGGACTAAACCCACATACTGAGGAAATTCCTTGGGATTAATCCGGAAGAAGGAAGGATAAACTCTTCTCTCTCCCTGAGGGAACTCAAAACCAACACCGAGCTAGAGAAAGTGAGAATCCTCTGTAAGAGACAAAGTACAGTTTAATGGTGACTTCAAGAGTCCCCATTGTGTGGTTTATTACCCCACCAGTCAATTTTATCTACTTTGAGTCAGAAGATTAATCTTTCTCCCTTCTTAGGAAGAGCCACTATTTTGCCTGGTTCTGATAGATCAGAAATCAAAGGAACAAACTATCAATCTGATAAAGAGAATCTGAAATGTGCAGAGAGATGATAAACTTTTATGAAAATCAGGGAAGTGGTTTTTGTCAAGCAATTGCAAGGCAGATCTCCAGATGAAGTCAGAGACGCTGACACAAGCTTGTAGTCTTTTATATAAATATAAATATATCTAACATTGAAATTTACACAAGCTTGTCAGGAACACAGGAATATCATGAGGTAAATTAAACACTATACATAGAAGAAAAAGGTTGGGGAAATGGGACACTCTCCTTTTACACCCAAAGCAACCAATCATAGAGTAGATTGCCTCATGCATGAGCAGACAAGATAGTCAGGAACACCGGAACATTATGAGGTAAATTAAACACTATACAGGACACATAGAGAAAAAAGGCGGGAAAAATGGGACAGTCTCCTTTTACACCCAAAGCAACCATCATAGCATAGATTGCCTCATGCATGAGCAGACAAGATAGTCAGGAACACAGGAACATTATGAGGTAAATTAAAGAGTATATAGAACACACAGAAGAAAAATATGTGTGTGTGGGGGGGAAGGGAAACTCTCTTTATACTTACAGCAACCAATCATCGCGCTGATTGCCTCATGCATGAGTTAGCACTCTCTGACTAGTCAACTACAACTGTGTGTTCTGGCTTATTGTAGACTTTAGTGTTCCAGCTACTAAATTCCATATCCTAACAATTTCTCTTTCAGAATTACATCAATATCTATTTGTGGTTATATAAAAATGTATCTTGACATATAAAATATAAAAATAAATTCTACTATAGGAAGGATGATGATGATGATGATGATGATGATGATGATTTTATAAAATTTGTATGCCGCCCTGTCACAACGACATTCGACCAAGCGACTGTTAAAAACAACGAATATACATCAAAATCAAGAAAGTTTTTTTTTTAAATTAAAATATACTACCCCATCAGTCCAGGCCGGGGGACATAAATAGCCAAGTCATATTGTCAGACTTGTGTCAGAAGTGAGGTGACAGTTCTGACACATGTAACCATGATGTATCACCCACTTCCAACACCTTTGTCTTCTGTGTCTCTTCTTGTCTGTTCCATATTGTATTCCCCTTACCTGTGGGACCTTGAAGATGCCGAAGATGGAGGTCATCAACCTTGAGGATTTGGGGTTGTGACCGCCAATGACAGAGATCAGAGGGTCCTGCCGATCACATTTATAACCTGGAACCATTTGGCCTCGTGTGGACAGCAGGGAGAAGCTGAAGAAGGAACTATTCCTCTCAGTCTGGTGATTTTCATAGATGTGGAAGCCAAGGGTGATGTTGGGGAGGAGAACCAGATCCTTGTTGACTTCTTTCACTGCAAACATCAAGGTCAGGAACTCCTGGAAGTTCTTGGGGATGGGCCTATAGTGAGAGAGGAAAAAAAAAACATTGGGGAACATTACAAGGAAACTAGAGTCTGCCGGTAGAGTTTGCGTTGTATATTTTTGGTTTAGTCTGCAACAGCAAGTCCCTGGTTTCATTGAGTTTTTAAAATAAATATTCCTCGACTAAACTTCTATGGTTTAGTGAGGGAGGAGAAAGGCTCTCTTTATATATCATGGACTATTTTATACAATTCCATCACCCTCCCTTCTTCACTTTGCCTTAGTGATTGTAATTGAGTTTCTCTTGGAGCAACCTCTTCAAGTCTGGTAACCATTTATGACCACAAGTGGGTGGGTCAGAGCAAAGATTTACTTATAAGTCCATTATTCATGAGAAATGCTGATTCCAACACTGAGGGAATTGGGGAGTACCTCACATTGAAAAAGGACTTCGCTTTCAGGTTTATTTCACCACAATTTTACACCCAAATTAATATTATAAGTCAACTTCTTCACTAGGTCAGCAGCCTCTAAGGTGGTGTCCCACCTCACTTTTATGTGGCTTATAATTATCACGATGAAGAGTTCTGGGGAAAAACTGTGAATTTTAGCCTTTTTCTTGAGTTTGACAAAGATTTGAAGATCCCTAGAAGAATCATTTCTGAAAGGAGGCCCTGAATTTGAAACAAAAGAAAATGGTCATCTAAAGATTTCCCCTCCAGGTGAAACTTACAAGAATTTATCAATAAAGAGGAATGGGTCATTTTGAAAATCTGGGCCTTTGGAGAATATGAGAGCTACCAGGGGTAAATTCCCCCCAATAATCAGATCACCAGGCTTGTAATACTTCCAGTCATTCTGCTTCTGGTTTTTCAACACACATACAGTTTGCATCCTCTTAGCAGTTATTGGAGGCAGGAGCCAGAAGAGTAGCAGAGGCAGCCCAGTCATTTTTGTCACCTTCCCTCCTAGATCAAAAATCAAGATTTGTGCAGAAGCTGAATTTCAGGCGGCACTTGAAATCTCCCCAGAAACTGTGGCACAACCGAGACCGCTTTGTCAGCTGGATGGCCTCAGGGCAATTTTATCTGATGTCTCCTTGCATTAAAACATTTGTATTGCATTTCTTTATTTGCTTCTATTGACCTTATTCTGAAATTAGGCTAAATGCTGTGTTTTATTGCAATGATAAGCTCCCAAGAACAATCAATCAATAAACTACAACTCAATCAATCATGCTTTTTCTTACCTGTCTTTATGCTTTGACAAAAAGGCCAGCTGAGTCTCACCAAACCCTGGAGTTAGCTCTTTGGAAGACAAGCCAAGGTCTCCCATCACTGGGAAAACCCAGAGCATATTTTTTAAAGCAAGTTTTACCTTAGAACATTTTTGTGGGTTGAAATCCACAGGGAATACAGGAAGAATTAATGTTCTTCTGATAATTATAAGGAAAACCAATTATCCTACCCACCTAGCAATAGGTGTTGTTTGCACCTCAGATAGGGAAAAATATGTTTGTGTCTCTTGTTGTTAATCCACAGAGTAGATGGACTTGAGAGTCAAAGATGTAGTAATCTTTTTGACCTACCTGAAAGTATGCACTTGCATACAAGATGGAGTTTGGCCTGTGTCGTAGTATGTTCAGATAGAAAAGGTTCCAATGGGGCATGGTAACAATCAGCTGTACCCTAGGAAGTGTGAGCAATCATGCCAATGTTTAAATGGAATAACCAGTTTAGTTATACCCACAAGAGAGGGGGTGAAATTGATTGATTGACTAATTAAATTCATATGGCCACCCATCTCATGCAAAGTGATTCTGAGCAGTGGTGAAATCCAATTTATTTTTACTACCGGTTCCGTGGGTGTGGCTTCGTGGCTGTGGTGTGGCTTGGTGGGGGTGGCTTGGTGGGGGTGGCAGGGGAAGGATACTGCAAAATCCCCATTCCCTCCCCTCTCCGGGGGGAAGGATATTGCAAAATCTCCATTCCCACCCTACTCTGGGGCCAGCCAGAGGTGATATTTGTCGGTTCTCTGAACTGCTCAAAATTTCCACTACCGGTTCTCCAGAACCTGTAAGAACCTGTTGGATTTTACCCCTGATTCTGAGCAGCATACAACAGTCCGGTAAAAACTGTAAATAAAGAAGACAATCATTGCTTAAAACCTTTATACAACATTTATTAAAAAGAATTAGAGTTATTGGGATCCTCAAATCTGCTAGTATGTCCAGATCTGAGGGAACTTCAAAAGCTCAGGAGTGATGTGGCCAACCAATGCAGCTCAGCAAGCAAGGGTATAATGAGATACACCAGAAACATAACTGCTCTTGCTAATACATTTTGCACCAGCTGAAGTTTCTGGATACTCTTCAAGGGAAGGCCCATATAGAATGGATTGCAATAGTCCAATCAGGAGGTGACCAGGACATATCTTGTCCAGCAATGCCTACAAGTGGTACGTAATCAAAGTTGTGAAAAAGCCCTTCTAGCCATAACCGCCACTTGATCCTCAAGCAGGAACAACTCCAGGAGTCCAGGAGGACCTCAAATTTCTTGCAGGGGCTGTTTGGGGCAATGCAATCCCACCCATAGATGGTGTAGTTCTAGAACTAGAGATCCCCCAAAGCCATTCAGTCTTGCTGGGGTTCCTTAGAAGCCTGTTTTCCCCCAAGCAGACATTCATGCAAACCCCATTTTGCTTTCTTCTCTACTAGGATCCCATGGAAGATGTTGCCAAATGCTTTGATGAAGTCAAGGTATCTTATGTACATTGCATTCCCATGGCCAAGTCAACTGGTCATTTTATCATCCTCTTCCTCGGAAAAAAAAAAGGAGTTCAAATTGTTTTTGTTAACTTGTTCAAAAACTTCTGCTGGCTCCTATCAAACATTGTATTAGTTTCTAAATTGAACCAAAACATAAAACAAATTGTGAGGAAGGGTATGTTATACTTTACATTGTATATTTAAATCTCAAATGTAAATAAAATGTTCACACAGGAACTAAAATGGTATATATTTGCACAGAGTTGCCAAAGGATGTCTATGCTTCTTTGGAACAATGGAGGTAAGGCTGATTGATGATGATGATGACGACATCATCCACTGAGTCTGATATGACTCTTGGTGATTCTATGGCCCAGGTCTCTCCACATCTTCTGATCCTGCACTACTTTTTGAGTTATTCTATGCTCCAGTTGGTGTCACCAGCCATGGCGTTTTTTGGAGGCTTTTTACTGCTAACTCTTCCAAATATAATTGCTTTCTTCAGTGAATTTCCATGCATGATATGACCAAAGTAAGTGAGACTCAGTTTCATAATTTCCTTCCAGCAGCACACCTGGTGTTATCAGTTCCTGTACTTGCTTGTTAGTTACCATTACTGTCCAAAAGGTTGTTTAATGTGTTATTCTAATTAGTTAAGCATATCACATCACCATACTGAGACCTAAGGAGGAATGTTTTAATACTCTAAATTGTATCGTACCAAATCTGAAATGGAAGTAGAAGGAATTTCAAACAGGAACTAAAATTGATGTATCTTTGGACAGAGATGATTATAAAATAATAGTAGCAATAGCACTTAGACTTATATACCACTTCACAGTGCTTTTACAGCCCTCTCTAAGCAGTTTACAGAGTCAGCCTATTGCCCCCAACAATCTGGGTCCTCGTTTTACTGACTTGGAAGGATGGAAGGCTGAGTCAACCGTGAGCCAGTGGGGATTGAACCCCTGGCAATCAGCAGAATTAGCCTGCAATCCTGCATTCTAACCACTGCGCCACCAAATATTTCCATGATTTACAATTATTTGAAGGACAAGTCACTCTCTTATTTCACTATTGTTAAGAAACCACATCAAATTAAAAAAGGTCTCAAAGGCAAAATAAAAGTTACTACTTTACATATAAATCAGAGATTCTAGTGTCCCATTATATTTTTTCTCTGATTCAGATCAGGCCTGAATAGGATAATGTAGCATTTGGGGGAAAAGATGCAAGCCAAGAGAGCAGCCCCAGAGGCCAAGATGGAGAAGATCTCCACGGCCACCATGGACTTCCCTTTGGTGCTCAGATAGGTGGGGAGGAAGCTGATCCAAACACTGCAAAAGATCAGCATGCTGAAAGTAATGAACTTGGCTTCATTAAAGCTATCAGGCAATTTCCTTGCTGGAAAGGCCACAGTGAAACTGATGAGAGCCAGGAAACCCAGATAGGCGAGGACAGTGTAAAACATTGAAGCTGAGCCTTCATTACATTTCAAGATTGTCTCTCCTAGTAGTGAATGGAAGTCCAAGTTGGGAAATGGGGGAGAGGTTATTAGCCAGGTTGTACAAAGAATTGCTTGGACCAGGGGACAGGCTATGACAATGGAGTTCGTCAGTGGTTTGCCTAAGAGTTTCCTTGCCTTGTTCCCTGGCTTGGTGGCCATGAAGGCCAGAACGACCATGGCAGTTTTTGCCAAGATACAGGAAACTGCCAGGGAAAAGAGGATGGCAAAGGCAGATTGTTGGAATAGACAGGTGAACTTCCCTGGTTGACCAATGAAGAGGAAGGAACAGAGGAAGCAGAGCAGGAGGGAAACCAGGAGGATGTAGGTGAGATCTCGGTTGTTGGCCTTGACGATCGGTGTGTCACGATATTTAAGGAAAATCACCAGGACTGCAGATGTGGTCACAGAGAGAAAAAGAGTGAGAGAAACTAAAGTGTATCCCAGGGTGTCTTGATAGGCAAGGAAGTGGATCTTCTTGGCAATGCAGTGGTCCTTGTCCTTGTTGGGATAGTGGTCTTCTGGACAGGGGTCACAGCGAGCTGCATCTGAAATGAAAAAAAAATCAAATCTTTGCTTGAGGATTCCAGGGACATCTGCCGTAAGCCTTATATCCCCTTCATTATTCCTCTCTCCCTCTACTCTGGCATGATTTCCCCTCTCTGCTGTGGCCAGTCCATGATGGAATGACCCTTTGTGCATTTCATGGTGGATGAAACAAGTTCATTCTTTCTATATTATTGATGATGCTTTAGCCCCAGACAAGGAGGTGTTCACCTCCAGCTGGTCTGGTTTGTTTGCTCTTTAAGCAAAAGCTGTCTCCAGTCAATGGCTTCTTCCATGACTATTGTGGCTTTGAGTGTGAGAGGGATTGCCATTTCTTCCCCGCTTTTTACTGGAATCACAAAAAGACTGATAGATCGGTCAGAATAGAATAGAATAGAATAGA